CTTCATCAGTAAATGTTTCAAGTCTTCCAGCAAGCAAGGTTGTATCATCTGCATATCACAGGTTGTTAATGAGTCTTCGTCCAATCCTGATGCTATATTCTTCTTCTTCTAATACAGCTTCTTGGATTATCTGCTGAGCATACAGATTGAATAAGTATGGTGAAAGACTACAACCCTGGCCATACCTTTCCTGATTTTAAAACATTCAGTGTCCCCTTGTTCTGTTTGAACAACTGCCTCTTGATCTATGTACAATACAAGTTTCTCATGCGCACAATTACATGTTCTGGAATACCCATTCTTCACAATGTTATCTATAGCTTGTTGTGATCCACACAGTTGAAAGCATTTGCATAATCAGTAAAGCACAAGTAAACATCTTTCTGGTATTCTCTGCTTTCAGCCAAGAACCATCTGATGTCAGCAATGATATCCCTCATTCCAGACACCCTCTGAATCCAGCTTGAATTTTTGGCAGTTACCTGTCAATGTACTGTTGCAGCCATTTTAAAAATATCTTCTGCAAATATTTACTTACATGTGATATTAATGATATTGTTAGTGAATTTCACATTCTGTTGGGTCACCTGTCTTTGAAATGGGCACAAATATGGATCTTTTCAATCAGTTGACATAGATGAGTGAGCACCTCCAGTGCTGCATCAGTTTGTTGAAAGATTTCAATTTGCATTTCGTCAATTCCTGGAGCCTTGTTTTTCACCAATGCCTTCAGTGCAGCCTGGATTTCTTCCTTCAGTGCCATGGTTCTTGATCACATGCTACCTCCTGAAATAGTTGAACATGGACCATTTCTTTTAGGTACCGTGATTCTATGTATAACTTCCATTTTCTTTTGATGCTTACTACATCATTCAGTAGTTTGTCCATAGAATCCTTCCAAATTACAAATTGAGGCTTTTTTTTTTCTTCAGTTCTTTCAGATTGAGAAATGCTGAGCATATTCTTTCCTTTTGGTTTTCTAACTCCAGGCTTTTGCACATTAGAATATTTGACTTTGTCTTCTCGAGCTAACCTTTGAAATTTTCTGTTTAGCTTTTCAATTCTTCATTTCTTCCATTTCCTTTAGCATTTCTATGCTGTAGGGCAAGTTTCAGAATATCTTCTGACATCCATTTTGGCCTTTTCTTTCTTTCCTGTCTTCTTAATGACCTTTTGTTTTCTTCCTGTATAATGTTCTTTATGTCATCCCACAACTCTTCTGGTCTTGGATCATTAGTGTCTAATGCATCAAATATATTCTTGAGATGATCTCTAAATTCAGGTGGTATATGTTCAAGGTCATATTTTGGCTCTTGTGGACTTGTTTCAATTTTCCTCAGCTTCAAACTGAGTTTGCATATGAGCAATTGATGGTCTGCCCCTGGCCTTTTTTGACTAATGTTATTGAACATTTCTACCATCTCTCCCCACAGAGGTAGTTAATTTGGTTCCTGTGTATTCCATTTGGAGACATCCAGGTGTATAGTCACCTTTTATGTTGTTTAAAAAAGATACTTGCGGAGAACAAACAAGATGGCGGATCGGGTGCATGTGTACTAAAGAGTTCCGCCAACAACAACACAGAATACCTGACCAAGCAGGCTCAGGGGATGGTCCCAGAATTCTGAACCACATATAAAGGAATACTTAGAAGGTTGGAA